AGTTCCCGGTGTTCTCCAAGGAGCCTCCACGCTGTATAGTTCACCCAGAAGAATCAACCTGTCCAGACTTCTGATTTTATCCCCACAGGAAAAAGCACTGGATCTAGTATAAACCAGTAAACAGCACAAAACTCCCAAGTGCTCTAGAAATCATTTTTTTCCTTCAGTGTTACCTGCAACATGAATGAACATTGAAAGCGTTCTGATAAGGGAAAATCCAGTCACAAGTGACTGTTGACTGTTTATCCAATTTGTCTGAAATGCCCAGAATAGACAAACCTGTGGAAAGTCGATTAGGGTGGCCTAGGGCAGAGCGATGGGGGAGACAGAAAAGCAATGAGGTGGCCCTTAGAGGTCTGGAGCTCTTTGGGGGATAATTAAAATGTTCTAAAACTAATAATGCTGGTAGGTTTTACAACCCTGAGATGATATTAAAAGCCATTGATTTGCCAGGCATGATGGCACATGCCTTTAATCCCAGCACTCAGGAAGCAGAGACAGGCAGATTTCTGTGAGATCAAGGCCAACCCAGTTTCCATAGTGAGTTCTAGGAAAGCTGGGGCTGCAGGGAGACCCTGTCTCCCCACCAAAAAAAGTCATTGACTTATGTGATCTGTGAATTATATCTTAATAAAGTCATTACAAAAAAAAGATTTTTAAAAAGTAGTACTTTACCATATCAACCCAGTTCATATTAAAGATGATACTTAATAATTAATCACATAAACTAAATGTCAACTAAAAAGGAAAAATCTCCAAGTTCTTTGTTAAACAAGCAGATAGGGCTTTCATAAAAATAAGCTTGAGGAACTGAGGGTCGTGGCTCAGAGGTAGAGCATCCCTAGAGCCCCAGGTTCCCAGTCCTCAGCATCACATACAGAAACAAAATATACATGGTGATATAAATGGAAACACAAAAATAAGCATACATATGTGCTTGATAATGTCAACATAGTTCATTAGTCTGAAAAATAATTCATACCAGCAAGTATGTGCCGAGGAAAATATGTCAGCCCTGAACACTCACAAATTGTTACGGGCCTTAATTGTTTTGTGGGGATAACTTCTAGTAACCGCTCTGATGGTGACCTGGGTGATGGTATGCACAGCTCCTCAGATGAACAAATTCCAGAACCCTACCTCACACCTGTGTCTAGACAGACCCAACACTGACTTTACAACACCCACTACTGCCTGTGTTTGGCAGCAAAACTAATGTTGTCTGTGGACTTTGCCTACTTGGGAATATTGACCAACACATGATTCATTTAGTGAGTATGAAAAAGAGGGGAGAGAGGGGGGGGGAGGAGAGAGAGAGAGACTGTGAAGTTAAGCAACAAGAAGCTGCTTGTCTCTAGGAGGATTTGAGAGCCTGTGATGCTGTCAGAGACAAAAGAGACTCTCCTACTTATTCATCACTATGTACAGTATGCCATCCTGGCTAGAAATGATTTCCAAATGAAAAACAGATTCAGGCAGAATGACTTCCATATCATTGCTTATGGTGACTGTCTTAGATAAATGTGATTATTCAGTTACTAGTGCAAGAAAAAAAAAAAAAAAAGGATAATTTGGTGCACTAGTGTGATCATGTAAGCAACTGCTACCAACCCAAGCAGATGCTTCTGTAGAAAGTGGGGTGTTAAGGACAGGCATCTAATCACTTCCACCCACCAGGAAAACAGCTTGAGAGAAAAGCATCGCTCCCCTCCGTCAGAACAAGAGCCCATTCTGTTCCCTGATTGAAGTAGCATTGCTGGTTCAAGTGAGAAATGTCCTCCATGGGCTCACATCTGTGAACACGGGTTCCTATTGGTGGAGGTTATGGAACCTTCAGAAGGTGGAACTTTGCTGGAGGAAGACTATCACTGGGGGTGCATGTTCAGCTTTTATAGCCTTACCCCACTTCCTATTCCGCACCTGCTTCCTGTGTGCAGGTAAAATGTGACCAGCCGGCTTGCCAGTCCTGCCACCACACTGTCCCCACTGGTCGCTACCTCTTCCACTGTCCCCGCTGGGACTACAAACCAAAACGGCCCTTTTCTTCCCTAAGTTGGCCTTTATCAGGATATTTTATCACAGCAACAGAGAAAAACGAATACAGCTGGATTCCAGAGTACACAACAGCCTTCAGGGTCAAAGGGCAACCTAAGTAAATTCTGAGCTACCAAGAGGAGGAAATAGTCAGTGTCCTTCTGCCAGTGCCAAAAGATAGAGCCCGCAGTGTGCTGAGGCCAGGTGGGATGAGGAAGGAAGTGAATTTCCTGCATCTTCCCAACTCTGGTTAATGTGCCAGGACTCCATGTTACGGCACTTCGAAGGCATGTCCCACAAGCCACACTTTGGTGTTTTACAGTTGGTTCCCGCCCTCTTCCCTTTTAACCCTGCAGTCTGCATTTGACACCAAGAACTCAAAAGCCTCTGCCTCGTTGGATCAGCTCTATGTTTTGGAAAGCACACAGTGGAACGGGACAGCTCTCCCAACACCAGCCATTCTGTCCGCCCTGCAGGAAGATGCTTGTGTCACTAATCTGGTTGCTTTGCTGCTCATGTTACTCTGCTTTATACCTCTGTGTCTGGGTGCCAGGTGTCTACTCTGTCACTCGAGGCTGGTCATTTGTGTTAAAATCTTCTCTATTGGTTACTTTTCTGTCGCTGTAATCAACTATCTCAGAGAAGCAACATACTGGAAGGAGGGTTTCTTCTGGCTCACCGTTTGAGGAGATACAGTCGGTTGTGGTAGAGACGGCGTGGATGGGGGAACATGAGGCGGATGGTCACAAGAAGCAAATGGTCACAAGTTTCCTCAGTCAGGAAGCTGAGAGAGATGGAGGCTAGTACTGAGCATCCTTCTCCCTTTTGTCTTTGATACAGCCTCTATCCGGGGTGGGTCTTTCCACCACTGATAAACCCCTCTAGTACTCAGGGTGGGTCTTCCCACCACAGATATACCCCTCTAGTACTCGGGATGAGTCTTCCCACCGCAGACAAACCCCTCTAGTACTCGGGATGCGTCTTCCCACCACAGATAAACCCCTCTAGTACTCGGGATGAGTCTTCCCACCGCAGACAAACCCCTCTAGTACTCGGGATGAGTCTTCCCACCGCAGATAAACCCCTCTAGTACTCAGAATGGGTCTTCCCACCACAGATAAACCCCTCTAGTACTCAGGGTAAGTCTTCCCACCGCAGATAAACCCCTCTAGAGACACCCTCATGAATACACCCAGAGCTGTGGGTTCTAGATTATTCTAAATACAGTCAGACTGACAGTGAAGTGTGGCTGGTATCTTTGTGTGGCTTCAATCACACTTCCCTGTAGTGGTGCTGAACATTCTTTCCTGGTCTTTCCCTCACCTTTGCCTCTGTCTCTCACTGAGGAATGGACAGAGCTAGAGAAACAGAGCTAGTTACTTATACACTTCCCAAAGAAGAAACTGTATTTTAGAACTAAGTTTTGTTTTTCTATGCTGTGTGCTGCATAGTGCTTAGCACATAGAGTATGCTGAATACATGCTAACTGAAGTCAGCAATCATGAGTGAAGGAGTAAGTGATTAAACACAAGCCATTTCAGTCCCTTGACTCCATGCTCCAGGTACCTCTCAGAAGTCTTTTCTAAAACGGCTGATGAGAGTTTTGGAAACCTTGAATTCAACAGCCCTTTGCCTGATGCAAAAGTAATCTAAGGAAAGCTATTCTCATTAAAAACATGTCTGCACATCACCAACTCTCCCTTCAAAGGCTCTAAAACAGTAACATTTTCCTAAATTAAAGCCTGAGCAAAGCCATTTCTAAGGAATTATAAAATTTTCTTCTTTTTTCTTTGGGACTTTTCTGTTTTGAAAAGTAAGCCTTCAGTGACTTGTAACAAATGGTCGATGAAAATGTCATGGAAAAATACACAGTGTTATCTTGGTGGAAACTAAGGTCGCTGAATCCAGGACCTGCTAAGCACAGTGATTAGGAAGTGTTTTCTCCATCTTCACATCCCAATAAACCACACATTTTCGAATTTTTGGATTTATCTAAAACTACATGTGTGTAAAAGAGAGTGTTGGTAGCTGGGTGTGGTGGCACACGCCCTTAATCCCAGCACTCAGGAGGCAGAGGCAGGTGGATCTCTGTGAGTTCAAGGCCAGCCTGGCCTGCATAGTGAGTTCCAGGACAGCTGGGGCTACAGGGAGACCCTGTCTCAAAAAGACCGAAAAAAAAAAAAGAAAGGAGAGTGTTGGTTCCTGTCAAACCAGCTCTTATGAAGTTGTTTCAGTGTGTGGCTCTGGATCAAAACAAGCAGAAATGGAAAGGCAGAAAGCAGGCTGTTTCTGGTTTTGTTTTTAAAACCTTAGCTTCCTGAACCCAGGAAGTTTAACCAACAAACTAAAAACACTATTGAAGGGATTTTCTTTCCCTAATCAATAAAACCTCTGTTATTTCTTACCACCCAGCATGACAGTATCACATTTCAGAGCTTTTGGAGATGGCCATTTTCATCCCACTTAAGCTCTTGATTGTTAGGAAAAGACCAGCATCGCTCATTCCTGGCATCAGTTGGTAATAGTACTGGCCTTCAGTCTCTGTTCTGTAGTTCCCAGTATAACCCTAAGGGAGGCCCAGCTCCCAGCAGCTGATTTCTTGGCCTCAGACCAACTCAACGATTCTAATGAGCAAGGTTTACTATTTCACTGTACCGTGTCCTGACTCTGAAGAGGATCAAGTCTTAAGAGAAAGTTTTGAAATAAGCCTTGTGAAGGAGTCTATGTCATCCAGAGCTAGTGCTTCCAACTCACGGGCTCCCACAGCCTAGATGATGCCCCCGCACAGCAAGCAGGCTGCCACCTATTGAGACAGGCTGCTGTTACTCTGTGTCTAAGTTACTTGCCAGTTGGTTCTGGTAAGACTTTTCACTTGAGTCTTATCTCTGGGTGGGTGACTCAGCTGTGAGACGTCTGTCATTGCTCCATGATGCTGTCTCACCTTCTTCTTTACATCTCCTATGCAGGGTACATCCCCAGCTACTTAGACAAGGACGAGGTCTGTGTCGTGTGTGGGGACAAGGCCACGGGGTATCACTACCGCTGCATCACGTGTGAAGGCTGTAAGGTGAGTTCCAGGGTCCCCAGCATAGACACCCCGCCCCAGCTCCTCTAGAAATCAGTGTTAAGTTCAAGTTCGAATTAAAACCCAATGATAGCATTCGTTGCCTGGGACCAACCAGGGCTGGAGTAGTCCTCTTCATTGCTGATGTGTCCAAGATCTGAATTTTCTGTTTTCCTAAATCATATGTAACTAAATGAAACTTTGCAAAAGTATGCTGCCTGTTTTCTTGTGTTTTCAAAACAGAAAGACAACAAATGAAGGGCAAACAAATTAATAGCACTTAGAGTTTTGGAAACACGTTTCTTGGTAGATGATCCATCCAATTTCTCCTCTTGCTTTATGCGCATTGTTTGAGGAGACAGGTTTGAGCCTATGCACCCACTTCCAGCGGGATGTGCAGGGATATGTGCACTTGGAGGGATCTTTGAGGCTATTTAGACTCAATTCTATTCTGACATTTATTCAAAGTGGCTTTCCGCAGAGCTCGCGTGAGGAGAGTCCGGTCACCATCAGGTAATTTTGAGCTCTGCAAACCATCCTTCAGATGATTCTTGACAACAACATGCTGGTCCATCCTCTTATCCAAAGAGAGTCTACATCTGCCCACTTCCCATCATCAGCAACGTGAAGATAAACATTATGGAAAAGGCCTTTGGCCCATCAGCCCAGGCTAGAAAACAAAGAGGCTCAACCCAGTGCGGTGCTTCAAAGCTGCTGTGTGAATGGGGCTGTACTGAAAACCACTGCAGGACGTTTGATTTCCTAGTAAACCCCACTGCAGCACCCCGACTAAAGTTTACCGAAGACGCCCCTCCTCCCTCCCCAGCCCCCCCCCCCCCTCCCTTCCTTCCACCCCCTCCCCTCTCCTTTCCGTCCCCTTCCTGTCCTTGTCTTAAACCCCCCAAAACTAACAGGCTAGTTCGGTTCAAACCCACGTGGGCTCCACTCCCTGTGGGAGATTTTCCACACAAATTCCCCACGTTTTGGGCATGAAATTAGGAAACACGGGCAAAGCTGCTAAAACTGCGGAGACGTAGCATCTTCACAAATGTAGCACCCGCAAGTCCTTCCTGAGGTCCCGGGCCCACGCCACACCTTAGTTGGAATGTGGTACTGGGGAGCACCTTCTCCCAGAGCTTTTGAGCTGGAATTTACAGTTAACAAAGACTGGGCCAGAGGCTGCGATTTTTTCTGTGAAAATGTCTTACAGCGTTTAACAAAGCTAATCACAAGTAAGTCCTGCTCTCTATTAATTAGGAGACTTGCAAACCTGCTCGTGAAAGCATGGCTTTATTGATGTCATTTGAAAAGAATAAAATTAGCCAGGCCTGGAGCCCCAGGCCCATAATTCCAGCTAGTTGAGAGGCAGATGCATGAGTTCAGCAAATTCCAGAGAGCCTGAGCTACAGAAAGAGTTGGAGGCCAGCCTGGCCAACTTAGTGAGACCCTGTCTCAAAATAAAAAGTAAAAAGTTGCGCTGGAGAGATGGCTCAGTGGTTAAGAACACTGGCTGCTTTTACAGAAGAGCCAGGTTCAGTTCCCAGCACCCACATAGCGGCTATCAGCTGTCTGTAACTCCAGTTCCGTGGGATCAGATGCCCTCTTCTAACCTCCACAGGCATTGCACCACACAGGAGCACTTACATACATGCAAGCAATACGCATATACACATAAAATAAAAATAATTTTTTTAAGTAAAAAGAGGACTGTGGCTGCAGTTAGGTGACAAAGCACTTGCGTGGTATACATGAGGCCGGCCCTAAGTCCAATTGTAGCACTATAAAAAAAAGATAATAAAAATTATATGACTTAGGATACATTCTTTCATTCTTAAAGCTCAGTTATTGAAACTAGCCTCTTTTTTTTCCAAATTGGTCCCAATGCACAAGGCTTTACTATCTGATTATGCAGCATTGCAATTCTTTTAAATCAGTGTCCTGAGATTGAATTCTGGGAGAGAATCTAATGAAAAAAAAAAATCCACTTAATGAATAACTCCCCAAACTAAAGGCTAGCTGTGCCTGAGAGTAGACAGAATATATTTCCAGCAGGTTCCCTAAACGGAGACTTGAGCCTTTTGATCCTTGACCTCACTAAGGTCAACAGGCCTCTGCCCAAGACGTGATTCAACTGAGATTCTCTTAAAAGAAACGTTATGTAAGGGCTGGAGAGATGGCTCAGCAGTCAAGAGCACTTGCTGCTCTTCCAGAGAATCAGAACTCAGTTCTTAGTACCCACATCCAGCAGCTCACAACACCTGTAGATCCAGCTCCAGGGAATCTTACCCTCTTCTGGCTCTCACAGGCACACACACACGTGGCAGATACCCACACTGACGTGTACACACACATGTAAATAAAAATAAATCACCAGGCATGGTGGCGCATGCCTGTAGTCCCAGCACTGGGAGGCAGAGGCAGGCGGATCTCTGTGAGTTCAAGGCCAGCCTGGTCTACATAGTGAGTTCCAGGACAGCTGGGGCTACAGGGAGGTCTCAAAAAGACCAAATAATAATAAAAACCTTGAGTGATGGGGCTGCCCAGATGGCTCAGCATTAAAAGTGCTTGCCATAAAGACTAATGACCTGAGTTCCATCACCAGGACCCAGATGGTGAAGAAGAAGAAGAAGAAGAAGAAGAAGAATCTTTAAAAAAAGAGAGCCAGGCGTGGTGGCACATGCCTTTAGTCCCAGCACCTGGGAAGCAGAGATAGATCTCTATGAGATTGAGGCCAGCCTAATCTCTATACAAGTTCCAGGCCAGCTGGGGCTACAGGGAGACGCTGTCTCAAAAAGATTTTAAGGGGCTGGAGAGGCGGCTCAGTGGTTAAGAGCACTGGCTGCTCTTGCAGAAGACCAGGTTTGATTCCCAGCACCTACACGGTAGCTACGAACCGTCCTTAACTCCAGTTCCAGGGGACTCCAAAGCCCTCTTCTGACCTCCATGGCACTGCACGACACGGGTGCACTCACATACATGCAGGCAATACACCCATACACATAAAATAAAAATAATAAATAAAAAGGAAGGAAGGACCATGTAGCACAAAGCTAAGCTTCTCAGCCTCTGTGCCTGTGTCTTAGGTCAGAATCCTGTTTTTAGGTTGCCTCCGTCACAAATCCAGAAAGGACCCTGGGAAGGGGGCAAGGGGCTCTCAAGATCTCTTAATATGATAACAAAACAACTTGAAAAAAGGGAAAATAGTTTTTTCAAATGTAACATCGTTTTCAAGAGTGTCAGAAGATGAAAAGGGTTACTCCTTATGCACTTTAATCAAACCTACAAAAAATATGGATAGAACCCTTGTTGCTTTGACAACAGAAATATTTTGGTCTGTTACCATTTCTCTTGTGACGTATCACTTGTTACACATTTTGCTTTTGGTAGAAAAAAGATTGATGCCCACAACAAACTGACCTTCTCCCAGTCTGCGCCATCCATCTCACAAGGAGTGGCTGGGCTTCTTCGCCTCCTCTGGCCTCCTTGGACAGAGGGTAACAGCCAGGGGAGGCAGAACCACATGGAAATTTGCATTTTGCTCTGGAGACATGCTGTGACATAGACATTTTGGCAGGATTCACCATTTTGACCCCAGGGAAACACAGCTGACATCTCAAAGTTTGTTTTCAAAGGAAGACCTAAAATTTAACAGCTCCCTAAATACTGAACTAAGATAGTGGTCTAGTTTCATCTACACTCTGACCAAAAGCAATTTAATGGAGGAAAGGATTTATTTGGCTGACACTTGCAGGTCACAGTCCATCACTGAGAGAGGCCAAGGCAGGAACCTGGAGGAGCACAATTTTCTCACTTACAGATCCATCCTCAGATGGGTTTCTGGACCACCTGCCCAGAGTATGGTGCTATCCACAGTGAGCTGGGCCAGTCTATATCAACAATCAAAACAACCCCCTACAAGCATGCCCACGGGCCAATCTGATCTGGGCAGTCCTTCAGTTGACACTCCCTTAGGTAACTCTGGCTACTAGGTTGGATGGTAATATCGAGGGTCTTGTATCTGGCTAGTCCACCACTGGGACCATTAAAAAATGAATCTAGCTCTTCTCTGTGCACTAAAACATGTCTGGTATTGGTTATAAAGGTAAGACCTTTGCCTGCCTACGAATTAATGAAACATGTCATTACTTATACCCAGAGGTCTCTTTCGTCAGCTCACCTCTAACAGGATTTGGGGTTTCAGGTGGTGGAGATTGAATGCAGAACCTCATACATGGCACCTGCTGTGCCACTGAGCCACACCCCTAGTCCCTAAGAGGATTTGTTTTTATTAAACGTCTTTTATTTCAGTTTACCTCCAGGAATTAATTTTCATCACTATTTAAAAATAAGGGCTCTAGCATCTTTACATTTACTTAAATGTAGTAGCCCCTCATCACACATTAAAAGATGCTCTGCTATAGCTTAGGGGAGAGCAATAGGAATAAAAGGGATTTGGTCCATGAACTATCCAAGAAAAGCCATCAGAGGTAGGCCCAAGAAAGACAGCACAAGGAACAGCACAGCAAACCACTGCAATGCTGTCTTCCCAACAAGCAAAATACCAATTCTGTAATTCCATTACATAGGATACAGAACAGCCTTGGGGAGATGCAGGACATACCCTTATTCCAGCACAGTCCTGCTCATCCTGGCGTTAGTGCTATCTGGGGAGGAGGGAGGGAAGGGGCTATCAGCAGCTGTCCTGGCTTCTCCCAGTCTGCACCATCCATCTCACAAGGAGTGGCTGGGCTTCTTCGCCTCCTCTGCCCTCCTTGGATAGAGGGTAACAGCCAGGGGAGGCAGAACCACATGGAAATTTGCATTTTGCTCTGGAGACATGCTGTGACATGGACATTTTGGCAGGATTCAGCATTAAGCTCCCAGGGAAACACAGCTGACATCTCAAACAGCTGCCTGTGTGGCTCCTGAGCCTGTAACATCAAACTCACATCATTCTAATACATGCTTAAGGATATAAACCAGATATAATCTGAGTTTTCCTGTCAGAACGCGATTAAAAAAAATTGCATGCCCTGACGTAAGTATTTGAGTCTCAGTTGTTTTTGGCGGTTTCCATTTCATTCTACAATACCCACTGTAGGATCCCTACTCAGGCTTTTGGGTTATGTTTTGCTTTGGTTTTGACCTTGATCTCACAGTGTAAGATCAGCCCTTCCTCTACCTCCCAACTGCTGGGATTAAAGGCACGCACCACCACACCCAGCTCAGGGCATTTTCATTATAAGGACGAGCTTTTATGTTAAGTAAGGACTAGGCAAATGGACACAGGTCCATGATCTGATCCTTATGTAGACACAGAATTCTAGAATCATTTGCTTTCAGATAATATGAACCTATTATCTTTCTTTCTTTCTCATTTAGGGTTTCTTTAGAAGAACCATTCAGAAAAGTCTCCACCCGTCTTATTCCTGTAAATATGAAGGAAAATGCATCATAGACAAAGTCACTCGAAACCAGTGTCAGGAGTGTCGCTTTAAGAAATGCATCTATGTTGGCATGGCAACAGATCGTAAGTCACTGCCCTTTGTTTGCTTCATATTGATGAGTGTTGATTAGGGAAAGAGTTTGAGATCAAGCAGGAAAGCAAGAACCCTTGTAAATAGAGTCTGGCTTTCCCACACACCCCTCCCTCCCTGTATCCAAGCTTGCCCTGCCAAGGAGGTAGAAGTCATGACTTGGGGGAGGGGGGCTTCTCTCTGTCTTATCAACTTTCAAAGCATCCAGGTGCTGAGGGGTGGGGAAGGGAGTGGTTAGAACATCCCTATGGTGTTTCAATAGCCTATCAACAGCCCTGTTCTGTGCCACACTACAAATGAGCAGTCTCGTCCATATACTAGGGTAACTTTTCACATACTGACTTCATGTGTTAAGAGGCTCACAGACCAGTCCTTGTGTTTTTCAAAAGCAAGGACAGGAATTTATTTGGTGACCATTTTTGGAGACAGGGCACTGGCAGAAAACATTGTTCAGGAATTTCAGAAGAATTTGAAGTTGAAAGTTCCCTCGTGACTCACCCGTTGCTGGCTGCTTCTTGTATTTTTAGCCAAAAAATATTTTTTTAGCATTTGAGCTGAAACTTCACTACCCAGTTTTCAAAGTGCCACAGCAGACGGTGGTGAGACTATCCCTGGGAGCTCTCCTCCCCGCACCGGATTAGGGATTTACACCAGCCATCTTAATTAATCGTAAAATGAAGAGCTGTGTCATCCAGAATATACAACTTCCCCTTTGCCAGGAATAAGTGAGAACTGTCACCATCGTATTTGCTCACCAGTGAGGGTCATTATTCATGAGTTAAAAAGGAAAACGAGAGAGAGAGAGAGAGAGAGAGAGAGAGAGAGAGAGAGAGAGAGAGAGAGAAGGAAAAGAAGAAGGCAATGAGGAATTTTCCTTATATTGGAGGAACAAATCATAGCTTACCTTTGTGTCATAACAGGGTCCTCTCAGGGAGACACTCACATGACCTTAACACCTCAATCCGGTCTCGGTCATCTGGGGTCGAATTCTGCTTGTGACTTAGCTTGGCACCTTGCTCCCCTTCTTCCTGCTTGCCTGTTTTTCTTTTCCCTTTCCACCCAGGCCAGGGTTGTGTGGTCCCAGGATGGGGAGCTGTGGAATTGGAGGCAGGAGTCCTGGGTCTCCCCTGACTCTGCCATGAACTGGCTGTGTGGCTTTTGGAAAGGCCTGGCCTCTCTGGATCAGCTCCCTCCATTGTGAAAGGAGGTCAGACTGGATATTGTCAAAGGTCTCCTCTAATTCTAAAGCACCACAGTGGTCATCTAAGACCTGGGCCATGGGGCTGCACAGATGGCTCAGTAAGAATGCTTTCTGTGAAAGCAAGAAGATCTTAGTTCAAATCTCCAGCAGCCATGTAAAAAGCCCAGCATGGCCACGTGTGCCTATAACCCCAGTACTGGTGGAGGAGAGAGTTAGATCCCGGGAGCTCGGTGGCCTAGTCTAAACCTTAAGCTTCAGATCCAATAAGAAACTCTGTCTCAAAACACAAGGCGAAGAGCATTAGAGGAGGACACCTGGAGTACACACCGGCCTCTGCGTGTGCACACACTCATGCACGTTCACATTCACACACAGACACACACACACTTCTTTTTAAGTAATATAATGGTTCAGCAGGTAAAGGTACCTATCACACAAGCCTGGCAACCTAAGTTCAGTCCCAGGAACTGAGTCCATAGTTATTCTCGCCTTACACATGTGCACTGTGGTATACGTGCACCACCCCCTCCCACACATCATACACACACACAATAATAATAATAGATACGTTTTTCGAGTAAACTAAAGCCAGTCCATCCCATTGGTCCTCACTAAGAGTCTAGGGAGTTTCGTTTGGAAACTAACCGTAGAAATATAGGCTGCTTGTTTGCGTTTCTTTTTTGCACAAATGATAAGATTTCTAATTACAGTCCCTGAACATTCACAGTCACAGTGAGGGCCTCGTGCACGGGTGTTAGTGACCTCACCTCATAGAGGAGAAACCAAAGCTTAGAAAGTCTAAGAAACACCTGTGAGGCCCAAGAGCATCCCAGCCATGCCTCACGGAAGCCAGAAGAGTCCTTTCCCCACTGAGGAGGGAATCGGGAGCTTCCTGCGGCCCCTTCAGAACTTCCTTAACTGAAAGTCTCTTCACAAAGCGCCACCTTAAGAGAAAGGGGTAGAGCAGAAGCCCAGGAGCAAAGTCAGACAGCTGCCAGATGGCTTTGCTTCAGTCTGGTTTTAAGGCCACCTTCAGTAGAGCCGAGTGTCTGGTGTCCAAGTTCCCTCAGAGCTCTGTTTTAGAAAGCTGGTCTGGCATTAAGAGTTTGGCACTGGGCTCATGTTGGACAGTAGCTAGTCAAAGGCAGTTTATTATTGAAAGGAGAATGTGCCCCACTGTAACTCTACAGTCCATCAGGCCTAGGCCCCCAGGCCCAGGCTCTGCAGTGTGCCCCAGCCCTGGATCATCCCCTGGTCCCTTTCACCCATCAAGCCCAGGCCCCCAGGCCCAGGCCCTGCAGTGTGCCCCAGCCCTGATCGCCCCATGCCCCTCTCGTGTTTCTCCGGCAGTGGTGCTGGATGACAGCAAGAGGCTGGCCAAGCGGAAGCTGATAGAAGAGAACCGGGAAAAGAGGAGGCGGGAGGAGCTGCAGAAGTCAATCGGGCATAAGCCAGAGCCCACGGATGAGGAATGGGAGCTCATCAAGACCGTCACTGAGGCCCATGTGGCCACCAACGCCCAGGGCAGCCACTGGAAGCAGAAGCGGAAGTTCCTGGTGAGGCTTCCCACTCCTCTCTCCATTGCTGTCTCCTTTCCTGCCTCAGTTCAGAGTCCACAGGACCCGGGGTGCTGCTGGTAGTGCTGGTAGTTTCCTGATGGGCAGATGTAGCTCTCAGAAGCCAGGAGCCAGGGCTACAGTCAGGCCCAGGGGAGGCACACAGCCTCCTGATGGTGTCAAAACAATCTTTCATGAGAATCCATAGACGGCTTCCAGGCCTCTGGCCTTGGGGTGCTTTCCTTGTTAGTAAGGCCAGACTGCCACCAGCCCCTTGGGAAAGTTCACTATTCGCTGTCTTGTCCTTCTCGCCCACTCTGTCCTCAGACCCCCAGTGTACACGCTTCCTCCTGTAGGCTTGTCTACAGACACACCCCCTTCAGCAGAACCCCAAGAGGAAGAGCCCCAGACCCCAGATTTAAGATTTTATCAGCAGAAGTCAAAATGCTTAGCAACAGGGAAGGGTGCTTGTTGGTTTTTAGAGTGCACAGTCCCGAAAGCCTTTCTCAACCACCTCTCATCTGGACTTCCTAGTGCCGTAAAGGAACTTGCTACCCCATTTTGGACACATGCAAACCAAGCCCAAAGTCATACAATACTGCCCCAATTGTTTGGTAGAAAGTGGTTAAACAAAGCCCCAAAGCCAACTCAGATCTCCTGGTTCCAGGTCTGTCCATCCACCTCATTAGATACCACCTTCTCCAGCTGGTATTGAGCCACCCCAGACACTGATCCTGCTCTCAGGGTTGCTGTCACTGAACGAGGGGACATTGTGATGAGATCACCCTTCCACACACCTCAACAGCAACGCTATAATGCAATGGGTTTTGTTTGCTTGGTCGTTAGCACAGTGTAAAATGAACCTGACAATGTAGGCTTATCTGAAGTAGGAAAATTGCAAGTTCCAGGCCTGCTTGGGCTACAGAGGGAATTCTAGACCAGCCTAAGCAACTTAGTGAGACTCTTGTCTCAAAAATCAAAAAATAAGGAAAAGTGGGGGGCCGGGGGTAGGGTATAGCTCAGTGGTAGACCCCTTGCCTAGCATGCATGAGACCTTAGGTTCAGTCCCCAGGACCACAAAATAATAACAACAATAACCTTAAAAGGAATTTTTTGAAAGAAAAATTTGTTCTGGAACAAGTCCCCTCGCTGTGGCCCTGAGCAAACACTGTCATGTGTCAGCACTTTGTTGATCTACTCCACTGGCAGCAAAGTCCCCAAGTACTTGTATGACCCTTACTGTATGCATGGAGACAGTCTGAGCACTCTCTGAATGCTTACTCCCTATCGTTAGGGAGAACACCTCTCTGTACTTTATAGAAGAAAAGAGAGGGAAGCTTGTGGGAGCTCCCACAGGGAGAACCTGGAAAACGCTAGAACATGAGAGAGTAGATGCAGCCAGCACCAGGTCTGGGCTCCTCATGTCCACCACCTAAGCAACCTCACTGCCCCCCATAACCAACGCGGTCTGGAAGAGCCTGCTACTGCTTGCACCCCACCCTGCTGTGTCTGCCAGGAAATTTAAAACACGATAATTCTGGGCCAATAGGCCAATTCCAACCTAGTATATTTGGGGCATAACAGGGTAGAGTCATGTCTAGCCACAGGCCCAAGTCCACCCCTTCCCCATGTGTCGGCCACTACCAGGCCTGGTGCTCCCTTCCAATTTTGATAGTCCCAGGAAACAGAATTCAATTTTTAAATTCCAAATCAGATGGAGGAATCAGGAGGTGGGCTGGATTTATCCTGGGGAATTTTATGCTTTTATTTTTTCACTCCCAAGAGAACATTGATGTCAGTCTACCTAAGCCAGTTTCAGTGGACACTACGGCACCTCTTTACAGATTCTAAATATTCATTCTTCGTTAACGTTTTATTTATTATTTTTATCTTATGTGCATAAGTGTATTGCCTGGGTGTGTGTAAGTGCACCCATGTCATGCAGTGCCTGCAGAGGTCAGAAGAGGGTGTCGGATCCCCTGGAACTGGAGTTATGGGTGGTTGTTAGCTGCCATTTGGGAGACAGGAACTGAATCTAGGTTCTCTGCAAGAGCAGTTAATGCTCTTAACTGATAAGCCATCTTTCCAACCCCGACTTACTCTTTTTTTTTTAATTATGTATATGCATGTGGGGATGTGTACACAGGAGTGCAGGTGCTCGTGGAGGACAGAGGCATCAGATCTTCCTGAAGCAGGCATTACAGGTGGCAATGAGCTACCCACAAGAGTGCTGGGACCCAAACCTGGGTCCTCTACAGGAGCAATATAGGACCCTAACTGCTGAACAGAGCCATCTCTCCAGCCCAAGATTCGTTCTTTAAGAAGCATTTACCAGGGCTACAGAGATAGCTGACTCAGACAGTAACATGCTTACTGCACAAGCCTGAAGAATTGAGTTCCATCCCCAGCACCCATGTAAAAAAGCCAGGTAGTGGCACATACATATAATCCCAATACTGGAGAGAGTCCAGGGGCTTGCTGGCTGGCCAGTCTAACCTACTCGGTGAGCTCCGGGCCAGTGAGAGACCCTGTCTTCAAAACTAAGGTGGATGGTGGCCAAGGAAGAAAAACCAAGATTGGCCTCTGGCCTTCGTGCATTCAGACATTCACACGTGCGTGTACGTGTACACACACATACACACATGCACGCATGCACATACGCACACAAGGGGCATTACTGGGCAGATACTATGTGCCAGGAAGTAAGTCAGCCCCCCTCCTGTGGAGACAGACAGGCAGAACAGGCCAGCAAACATGGTCAGTGCTGATGCTGTGAAGGCTGTGAGCAGCGTGAAGGGACAGAGCACTGGTGACTGAAGTGAGGCAAAGACTTCCTCATCTAATGGAGGGTTTGAGACAGAAAAAAAAACACCACGTCAAGAAACAAGACCCAGTCTCAAGGTCACATCTTTACCTCAAAGGCTCCTGGCAGTCTTCGTGGCTTTGACCCTCCATGGCATAGCCAGACTGCGAGACACAGAGTGAGTGGCTGCCAACGGACTCTTGGTCAGGGCTGTGAAGTGATCTATGCACTGCTTTTCTCCAGGAAGCTGATGTTCAGAAAGCAGCTACCGCACCCAGCCAAGTATTACAGCACGCACCATGCAGTACAGTACGGCATGTGACGTGGACCTATTGTAGATCCTTGATCTGTTCCTTAGGGTGTACCTCTTGATCTTGATATAAATGATGGCTTCTCTGAGCCTGCTCTTTTTAGAAGGGTTCTGGGGGACCAGAGTCCCTCCACAGTGCACTCACCTAGCTGGCATCTGTCCTGGTTAGCCTTAATTGTCAAGTTGACACAGCACAGAATTGTCTAAAAGGAGAAGCCTCAAATAAGGATTGCCATATTGGCCAGTGAGCGTGTCTGTGGGAGATTGTCTTGATTGGTGATTGGTGATTGATGAGGAGAGCCCAACCCTCTGTGGGTAGCACTGTTGTCTCTGGGCAGGTGGTCCTAGGCTGTTTATGAAGGCTACCTAAACATGATCCTGCATGAGCCAGCAAGCAGCGTTCCTCCGTGGTTTCTTCTGCTCTTCCTTGACCAAGTTCCTTGGTAGTGCTGTGTAGAATGAAGCAGACCTGTCTTCAGGCTCCTGCTTGAGCTCCTGCCCCAACGTCCCTCAGTGGTGGACTGTGACCTGGAAGTGGAAGCCAAATAAACCCTAAGTTGCTTTTGATCGGGGTGTTTTACCACAGCAACAGAAAGGGAACTAGAACCATACCCGCGTACCGTAGGAGGGCTTTTAAGGATTCACGTCTGCATGGCTGCTGCCTGTTTGTGTCTAGAGTGCTGCTGTGCATATTATTTTATTGATTTTTACGTGCTGATGTTCCATCTTGTTCTGAAAAGGGATTTGAAAGGCTTGTTATCTTAATAGCACAGTAGTATGCCATGAGGAATTAAAAATTATATGTTGTCATAAAAGTTACAAGTATCCATTTATCTGGAGCGGGTGTCTGTTTGACAAAAGGAGCTGCATGGTCATCTTCCCCGAGAGCTGGGACCCAAGTCAGAAAAAGAGACAGGGTTTGACCCGAGTTCCAGATCTATATTTGGGTCTGAGAAAATGGGAGTCTTCGGCAAATGAGAAACTTTTGCAAAAGCCATGTGGTTTCACAGTATCTACAGCAGTGCTGTAAAACCGCTTCCAGAAGCATTTGAATTGTATCATTTTCTGGTTTTTCTCCTCTCCGATCTCTCAGGTTTCAGAAACGTTTTCCTGCCAACAATTCATGTACAATGACAGTGATGGGAAAGATGGGGATGGGCCGAGCAGAGCAGCTGCTCTCTACCTCAAGGGTGCGAGACATCAGCCTTGTGCCCGCCACAGCCAACTGTGGACATTGTCAGCACGATCTGGTGACATTGTGCCATTATCTTACCCCTGGTTCACATGCAGAAGTGTGACTTGGGTTGGACTTTCTACCCAAGAAGGAAATGTGACTGTCCCACTTCTCCCCCGACCAAGTGACTGCCTGATGCCCACATTCTCAATCAGGGTAACCTCTGAGGAGACACAGATTGAAGGGTCAGACAGGTAGGTGATACAGCTGTATGTGGTCTGTGTGGTCCCACGAGAGGACAAGTGCAGTCCATCATCTCAAATCATCAGCCCTTAGTAAACAGGCAGAAGAGCCTCCTGTACGAGAGTGGACACCAGAGCAAGTCAGGTCACCCTCTGGTCCTGTTGCCTTGTAACCCTACCAGATGGTATCAGGCTGGTGACTATAAGGACCCAAGACTTCTGGGTATCTCATCACACAGGTGCTCCGTGCATGATCCTTACCATTACCCCCTTAGCACTTACCCCCTCATCCCAGGGAGAACGTGAGCCTTAGTCATGGCAAAGGTCCTGGGATCTGTCAGGATCCTTCTCCACAGCTTACAGAGCTGCAAGGAGATACCTGCCAAACAGGAAGGGGCTCATCCAGCTGACCGCACCCCATTCTGCCTGTGCCAAAGCTTCCAGTCTAAGCCAAGATATCCTTGGCCCGGAGCCAGCCACTTGAAACATGGCCAACTGGCGGCCTTTCCTACTTATCTCAGACAAAGCTGAGAAAACCCAAAGCAGAAATCAAGCTGGCTGAGGTCTGTGTAACGCCAGCCTTCCCAGTGCTGAGCAGCTGATGTCACACCTGCATACACACCTGAACCTCTTCCTGTACCCATCTGTCCCCACTGCCCAGAGAGAGGAGCTAAGTCACTCCTGCTTCCTGAGTCCGCATCCGTGCATCTTCCTAAATCTTTCCACTTCTGTCTGTCTCGCTGCCGTCCCACAGCCCGGCCCACCTCGGCCTGCCCAGACCACGGCTGCCACCAGCACTCCTTTCCCTGGCTCGCCCTCCCCCACACAGCAGCCATACATCTCATCGGGCCTTTCACTGCTCAGAGCCCTTTAATGGACATTGTTTGATATTCAGATGTCTCTCTCCTCGCTGTGGTCCACAGGGTCCAGCACGAAGCTTCTCTGCCTGCCTCCCTCCACTTCACATCGTTGCTGGCCCCACCCACCCGAGACCCCGTTCTGGCCTCAGAACAATGCAGTGGGCTATTCCTTATTCACTCTTGTTGCTGTGACCAAATTCCTGGCAAGAAGCAGCTTCAAGGAGGAGAGGGTTCTTTTGGCTTACAGTTGAGGGGAGACAGTCCATTGAGGGAGGGAGGGCTCGGCAGCAGGAAGGGGCTAGTCACATTGCATCTGTGCTCAGGAAGCGGAGAGGAAACAGGAAGTGGGGCTGGGCTATATAACCTCAAGGCTCACCCACTGTTGACCTACTTCCTCCACTGACACTCACCTCCTAAAGATTCCACAACCTTCCCCAACAGTGCCACCAACAGTGCCACCAACAGTGCCACCAACCAGGAATCGAGTTTTCAAACACGTGAGCTTATGGGGGACAGTCCACATTCAAGCCACAACTATTGACTTCTTCTGCCTTAAACGTTCCCCTTCCAATTCCAACTCCATGAACAGCCACCTCCTTGACATCCTTCAGGTCAAAGCCCACACTCTGCTTCTCAAAGGGGCCTTGCTGTCTCCCATCTCCTGACCTCTGTAGACTAACATGTCACCTCCAGGGTTATCACAAACTGGAGTTCTTCAGCGAATGTGTTTTTCTTGCTCATCATCTGTCTTCTTTCACTGCTTTCTAAGTTACCTGATGAGACATTGTAACCTCAGTGTCCAGAAGGAGACCCATACTTACTGGCAAAATAAATGTATGAGCAAGCATCCCGCCACCCACCCTTCAATGCAAGCCCTGTACACAGCAGGCAAAAACACATAAGGCTTACTCCTTGCCCTTTGAGAAGTCCAAATCTTTGATGCTTGCCTACATAATTATAGAAAGAAATAGTAACAGATGTTCAGGGTCATAGGACTGAAACACGCAAGTCACCGTGAGTGAACACATGAACACATGAGTGTTCAGATGAGGCGGACATCCTTTCAAATCGAGGTCATCTGGCCACATGTCTAGGAGCAGACGGGATTTGAGTTGGTCTTGCCGTGGACAGAGATGACAGACTGAAGTAGGGGATTCAGAAGGAAGAAAAATCCAGAGAGGAATGGGAAGTGGAGAAAGAACAGCCCTTGAGGGAGAGGGGTGCTGAGGTCAGCCGAGCTGGCCCGGGTGGTCCACTTACAGCACAGAGAACAGAAGTCAGGGTGACTGTCGGAATGCCCTATGAGCAAGCTAAGGCCGCTGGGCCCAGAGGCAAAGCAGGACTTCCCCCACAGGTCGACAGCAGTCAGTCCACAAGCCAGAGGTGTCATTAGTACGCAGGCTTGGTCTCAGGGACACAAACACATACTGTGCGTATGAACACATTCACTTCATGAGCAGTAACCAAGGTCACTAGCTGCAATAAGGTATCTAACAGACTCAGTCCAATGATGAGGGTCCTCCTGGGCAGATCTCTGCAGGGAAATCACAAAGGAGGCCGCGTTACCCAGCCGTGGGTTCCCACACCAGATGGCAACTTGCCTCCTTCAGATTCTTTTTCTTCCCTTTTTTCCTAGTACCTGAGATCCATCGTGGAGAGACGCTTGAATGATAAACCTAAGGCTTTTTTTTTTTTTCCTATTCTGATATATGTTTTCCAGCAGGAATGCTTGAGAGGTTACGTCTGGCTGGTCAGTTTTATAGTTACCATGTTACCTTGCATAATTTCCTTCCTTCTTTCAAATCTTTGGTGGAGACAGAGGAAGCGATTCACTGCCTTTCCTCCCCACAGATGGATTGGAAATGCATGACCAGTGTTGCCAAGGACTCTAAACTGATCGGTCGGATTAGACCTATCCATATCCAAGGCACGCTTAGATTCAACTACTCTATAGCCATGTCATTAAAATAATGTGTGGTGGGGCTTGGCACCATGGTTCAGTTGGTAAAATGCTTGCTGTGAAAGCTCGAAGACATGAGTTTGGGTCCCAGGAACCCTCATAACAAGCCAGAGATAGTGATGCATACCTATAATGCCAGCACTGGGAGACAGAGAGAAGCAGGTCCCTAGAGCTCACTGGTCAGCCAGCCTAGCTGAATTCATGAGCTTTGAGTTTAGTGAGAGACCTTGTCTCAAAAAATGAGCTAGGGGGACTGGAAAGATGGCTCAGCAGTTCAGAGCACTGGCTGCTCTTGCAAAGGCCCGGGACTTGACTCCTAGCACCTGCATGGTGGCTAACAACCCTCTGTAACTCCGGCTCCGGGGGACACCCACTTATGACCTATGAAGGCACCGCACGCACATGATGCACTTGTATGTAGGAAAAACACTATAAGAGCAGCTCCTGTTCAGGTGAGAAGGAATTCCATGAGCCAGTTAGAGGCCACAGGGAACGGGGTAAAGAGCTCTGGAGGACACAGGGAATCAGGGCACCCTAAGGAGAGGTGGTATAGCTTCCCCTTAGCTCACTCTATGACAGAAAGCGGGAGAGGAGTTATACATGCAGTTCAGTCATCCCATCAGCATCCAGAAAAGCTCTGGAACGATGCATCTTTCATGGGCATGGCTCTATTACCCCAGGACTTTGCGGTTGGCTGTGGAAACATGGCAGAACCCAGGTTCTATCCACTCTCTAGCACCGAAGCAAGAAAATAAGTAAAAGGCAGGTGGGCCTATGGACAATATCAAAAAAATGCCCAAGGTCCTTCTCTGCATAGGTGGGGCCTGGGTGGGACCTATTGTACTTGGCAACTTGAGAGTAAAAGTCCTTTACTGTCCTCCTGAGAGATGTGAGCACTGACGAGGCGTGGGAAGAAAGATGGCTTTGCCCTGCACCTAGCTGGATTTGCTCCCAGCCAGTCTGGCATCCTCAGAGGGACCCCAGACCACCAGCAGCAGCAGTGGTGGCAGCCGGTTCCACCTGCCCTGTGACATCCCAGACACGGAGGGGGCGGGGAGCAGAACTCAGCACAGGGAAGTTTGGGGCCATGGTGTCCAGCCAGAACCCTACAACAGGCAGCAGACAGTGTCACTGTGATTACTCCACAGTGGGGCAGGTTAGTCCTGCTCATTCCTCCTCCCCCTCCCTGCCACGCATCCCCCACTCCCACCACTGGGTGCCTTGGAGAGACTGGGCCTCGTAAGAACATACATATTCACTGTGACCACCACCCACAAACCATGATTCTCTGTGATCACTTTGGTGACACTCACAACCTCCCTAAGACACTCAGGGGGACTCTTTCCAGGAGTCAGAAAGTGAACAGAACACAAAAGCCTTACACAGGGGCGGGTTGGAGGCTGCTGTGTGGAATCCTGGCCACCAGCTCCCAGCCACGCTGTGCCCCCCACCCCCTTTGACCAGCACAGCCACTGTGTCTTCAATCAAACACACAGCAGAGGACTGCTCTGAGGACATTAAAGCTAGTAAATGTCCTGCCCTGCCCTGAGGTTTGCCAGGCATGCACAACTCGCTCCCCTGAGCAATCACCACCCTCCCTGCTCAGCTGAGGTCCCTGGAATTCTCAGGGACAAGGAGAAAGAATTTGAGCTCTAGCAGCTGAATCAGAAGCGAGAATGTGGACCCCAGACTGCTAGAGCTTGCTCACTGCATGTCTCTGATACCGCCCACACTCTGCCCACCTTGCCAACAAACCCCCCAAAACATACAGTGCCCTGAAAATGCCATCCCAGGGCCCTAGGCTTCCTGCCACCAGGCCCGAGTATGTCCTTGTGCTGACAGGAGAGCCAGGACTCCTGTCCTTCCCCTTCCTTCCCTTTCGTCTGCCTTCCTCCTCTTCTTCCTTCTGTCTCTTCCTTCCTTCCTCCTTCCTTCCTTCCTCCTTCCTCCTTCCTTCTTTCCTTCCTCCTTCCTTCCTTCCTCCTTCCTTCCTCCCTTCCTCCTTCCTTCCTTCCCTCCCTCCCTCCTTCCTCCCTCCTTCCTTCCTTCCTTCCTTCCTTCCTTCCCTCCCTCCCTCCTTCCTTCCTTCCTTCTTCTTCTTCTCCCCCCGGCCCCCGTTTCCCTCAACAGTCCTGTGAACATTATCCCTGGATGCCTGCTGAACCAATGGCCCAGGCACATACATTTGCTCAAAGAAACAAGTGATGTGAATCTGTCCACTCTGTCAGCACTTGGAGCAATCTGAAACCAGTGCTCATGTCTGTCTCCCCTGAGAGAGCTGTGCTAAACCCAGACTGCGTCAGCTTTGCTGAAATCGTTCTCACTTCTCCTCCTCAGCCAGAAGACATTGGACAGGCACCCATCGTGAACGCCCCAGAAGGTGGAAAGGTCGACCTGGAAGCCTTCAGCCACTTTACAAAAATCATCACACCAGCAATCACCAGAGTGGTGGATTTTGCCAAAAAGTTGCCCATGTTTTGTGAGGTGAGGACAAGGGTTTCCTTCTGTGACAGTCCCACCCACTTCAAAGCGTACTGAGTATCGGTTTACCAACTAACAGTGATTAGTAGAACGCCGCCCTAGGAAACTATGTGTGTCTGTGTCTGTGTGTATCTGTCTCTATGTACCTGTGTATGTCTGTGTGTGCGTGCGTCTGTGTTTGTGTGCCTATGTATGTATCTGTGTCTGTGTGTCTGGGTATATATCTATCTGTGTGTCTCTGTGTGTCTGAAGTTGAAGGAACACTCCTGTGTTTGCTACCTCAAGCTTGTCTGCCAGGCATGCAGCCAGCATTCTTCCAATGCCCACTAGAAATTTTTTTAATGTAAAGTTTGTATATATTACTAAAGAGATACTCCAGGTAATTTATAAAGAGGAGGAGGAAGAAGAAGAAAAGGAGGAGGGGAGGAGGATCAGCAGCAGCTCCCTCCCGCACTAACATAACAAACACGGCCTACCCTAGCTCTGGGACTGGGTGAGGAGCCACAGGGAGCTCCCAAAGCCTGGGCTCTGGCTTACCTTTCCCAGCACCCTTACGGAAGGCTCTTCACTGTCAAGACCCATCTCTCTAGCAACCCTGGCAATTTGTAGTCTCCAATTTTCCAAAGGAAGGAGAAGCATTTTTACAGCATGTTTCCAGAGTTGGGGCCCCCGGGGCCCCTGCTAGCCTTTTACTTTCTCTGAGACCCAGAAGCAGGAAATAAATTGTGGAGGGCCTGAGCGGGTGTGGGGGGGTGTCCCACGTGGTCTCTTGCCTGAGGCAGTTTGATGCATCTGCTGCTCCAACTGTGTGTGTGGTAATTTTTCTACTAAGCTCCTGCCAACCCACCCAGTGAGGCAGCAGTGTTACCCAAGGCTTTGTGAGATCTCAAAGCCTTGTCTGTAGATGCCACTGCTGGAGTGGGGTGTCTATGCCAGTCAACCCAGTGAATCTCTAAGGAGACAGGAAGGCCAGAGACCCTGAGGCTCTGCCTGCCAGACCCTTGTTGGAGCATTCTCCCAATGAAAGCATTATGGCAGGTGTCTCAGAGATGTTTGCCCATGTACCGAGAGAGATCTTGCCAGAATTCTGCTGATCTCTCTCAAAGGAAGAGGCACCTGGCCCATGTTCTAAACCACCGATGATGCTTTGCAAAGGCTTACTCAGCTTTTATTTGAAATTGAAGCAGTTTTCAACAGTTAGTGGATCTCAGAAAGAAAGCACTTCATCTATAGGAATTGATGACCTCCCCAAGTCTGCATACTTTGTAACAGATATAAAGGAAAATTAGTGGTTTTAACTAATTGGAAATTTTACATTTTTAGGTGCTGAGATAACACTTCATCTATAGGAATTGATGACCTGCCCAAGTTTGCATACTTTGTAACAGACATAAAGGCAAATTAGTGGTTTTAACTAATTGGAAATTTTACATTTTTAGGTGCTGAGATGTAGCTCAGTTGGTAGAGTGCTTGCCTAGCATGCATGAAGCCCTGAGTTGATCTTCAGCACCACATAAACCAGGCATGCTGGAACATACCTGTAATCCCAGCCCCAGGGAGGCAGAGGCACAAGGATCCAAAGTTCAAGGTCCTGCTCAGCCACACAGAGATCTTGAGACCAGCTTTCGAGACCCTGTCAAAAAAAAACGGGAGGGAGGGAGGGAGGGAGGGAAAAGAAGAGAGGGACGTGAGAGCGAACACCTTTAATCCTAACACTAGGGAGGCAAAAGCAAGGGGATCTCTGTGACTTTGAGGCCAGCCTGGTCTGTGTGGTGAGTTCCAGGCCAGTCAGAGCTACACAGTTCTCAAAGGGAGGTCTTGCTTTGCCAGAACTTCTCAGCAGTGGGGTCAGCACTTGTGGAGTGAGTTTGGGAGACACTGGAGGGTGGGGTGCAGCCTGTACCTGAGGAGTCTGCAGAGGGTCCTGGAGGGGCTGGAACAGGGAGGAGCAGCCCTGGGCCCTGCACAGACAGGCTCTGCTCTCTCCAGCCTATTCCTCCCTGTCCCCTGTAGCCACCTCAGCATCCCCACTTTGGCTGACCCTCCATCATCAGCATCAGGACTCCGGGGAGGAGATCATTAAGGAATACAAGCCAGAACATAAACAAAAAGCAAACCACAGAATGAGATGGGTGTGGGTTCCAGAATAAATGTTAAGTGATTTTTACTCTAGAGAAATAGGCAGTTTAAAATTAAACAGTAAGATGTCGAGGCTGAGCTGTGTGAAAAGAGGTGAAATACTCAGTGTTTTAAATGTAGTGGAGTGGGATTGCTTTGAGTTTTACATGATAAACTAAATTGGACTCATCAAAAGTCTCTATTTCCCAAAGAGAAGCTTTGGCAACTCTAAGGAAGACTTAGGCATTATGTACAATTTACATATTTATTATTTATGGAACCCGAGTCAGAGCTGGGGCACTTCAGAAGTGTGTGTTCCCTTGACCTTGGATCCTGACAGAGCTAGCTCCAAATCCCATCCTCACCCACAAAACATTCCTATCACCCCAATCCCCACATGTTACCCTCTGAGTGCCTGGTTTGCATGTGTGTAGTTAAGGTTGGAATTAGCATATTTACCTCACCACGTTGCTGTAAAGCTGAACTAAGGTGATTGTTTAACTCTTGGCATGGTGCCCAATTCATGAAACAGTTATAACTGAGAGCCTTTCAGATGCGTTTGATAATGACTTTTTGTTAAACTTTCTCTCCAACCCCAGAATATAAATTTCAATTTTTATTATTTTTCCAAATAAAATTCCATTGTAAAGCTTTATTAACACATTGTCATAAATCCTAATTAACAGAGTAACCAAGTGAGTTTAAAAACAAGACTGAGATCCTGGCAGAAAGGTCTATCTTGTCCAGTGCTCTTCAGTCACTGGGAAGATCAGAACTAGTGGAATTAGGAGGCCTGAATTCTGTCCCCATCTCTGCCCTTGAGTCGCCTGGTGACCTTGGGCAAAACTCTCATATCTCTGGGCCTCCTGGGTAACGTGCATCTGGAGCAACTTCTAATTCTGTGCCCCTTAAGACACCAAGGAGCTGGGCTGCCACTGAACAGTAGAGTCAGCTGCTGCCTGCCAGAGCTAGACAGCAAAGGTGAAAAGATATGATCTGAACCCTGCCTGTCCTCAGGTGGGATTACAGCGCGTGAGGTTGCAGGTTGCAGGCCTGGATAAAGAAGTGTGAACTACTGAGGGTGGCGGAAAACCAAGTTGGAATTTTAATAATGGTGGTACAGGCGTGGTGGGACAGGCTTAGTCCCGGCACTCCGGAGGCAGAGGCAGGTAGATCTCTGTCTCTGAGTTCCAGGCCAGCCATGGCTACATAGTAAAACCCTGTCTCAACAACAACAACAACAACAACAACAACAACAACAAAACGTGTTGTTGAAGGCTGGACATAGAAGCTGAAAGATGGTTGAAAATCTGTGGCCGGATAGGGAAGACTGCTGGCCAAGAGACGTAAAGCTGTTGCTGGTCACAGAGCCGTTTATCGCTTTCCCAAGGCTGCCCGCTGGCACTGGCTCTCTGCTAACGAGGCTGCTTCCTTCCAGCTGCCGTGTGAAGATCAGATCATCCTCCTCAAAGGCTGCTGCATGGAGATCATGTCCCTTCGAGCTGCTGTGCGCTACGACCCAGAGAGCGAGACTCTGACCTTGAACGGGGAAATGGCAGTGACACGGGGCCAGTTGAAAAACGGGGGTCTGGGGGTGGTGTCGGATGCCATCTTCGACCTGGGCATGTCTCTGTCATCTTTCAACCTGGATGATACGGAAGTTGCCCTCCTTCAGGCCGTCCTGCTGATGTCTTCAGGTGAGTGTGTACAGATTCTCAGTGAGTATAAAGAATGCTGGTCTGATACTAACTCAAATCACTCGGTAGGTTTTCAGTCTCCCTTAGGCTTCCTGGTCCAGGCTTACTCTCCTTCAGCAAGAAATTGGAGGGTGTCCATGGCGGGGAGCTGAACAAGGCTATCAGGTGTCTGGTGCTTCTTGACGTTTATAGAAACTTAGTCACAGCTGGGCACTTCAGGAGCATGTGCTCTCTTGGCCCAGGATTCTGACAGAGCTAGCTCCAAATCCCAGCATCACGTACAAAACATTCATATGATGCTCCACCCAGCATGTTATCCTCTAGCTGCCTGGGTTTTTACATCTCTAAATAACATTGGGATTAGAATGTTTACCTCATTGTATTACTTGGAAGATTAACTAAGGTGGTTGGGTGCCTCGTGGCATGATGCTCAGTTCACAAAAGTCCCTATATGGGGGAGGGGGGAACAGGAGGGAGGTGCCCGAAGCCTGTGAGATGATCCCCTTTGGGCAGACGTGACTCAGCCTGTTCTGTGGCCTTTCCTCTTATGGAGTAGTCGGACTTATCCTGGAGCCCAAGTAGGAGAGTTCCAGGCCTGAGAAAGCAGACACTGCCCTGTGGCATCACTAAAGCCACATTCTATTGGCCAGCTAGTCCGAGCTCCAGCCCAGTCACCCACCTGGGAGAACAGGCCGCCATCTTTGATAGGCCACCATCTATAACCTGCCTGACCCCGGCTCCCTGTCAGAAGTCTAGCTCCCAACAGTGAGGCTTAGTGCTGACATCATTCTTCTTTATCTGCATCATAACAAACAAATGCAAAGCACGCGGCATCGCTTAAGGGAAGCTGGTCTTTAAATAGAAGGTGGCTTAGGCCATTCTCTGCATTTCAGACCAAGTTTTCACTTTAACACTTTTTTTTTTTAATACTCTTTGCTCCGGTACTAACAGGGTCCCTTATCTATATCTCCCTCTGGACTAGTTACATTTTGAAGACATAGACGTGTCTAGTACCTGGGCCAGTGGTCAGTGGATTCCAAGAAACATTTATTCAATAAGTAAACTGATTACAACAGCAAAACTTCAGTCACTGTAACCCAAAAACCCTTTATAGAATTGAGACTTTCTGGGTTTTTTTTTTTTTTAACTGATCTAGAGCTTAATTTCTTACAGAAAATTTAGATATGGCAGACATTTTTAAAAGCAATAATTTTTTAAATTGTTTCCATGGAAAATTTCAAATCCAGGCAAATGGGATGGTGAATGAACCACTCTTGGTGGCTCTGACGGCCGGCTCCTGGGGTCCATTTTCCCACCCTCTGCTCTTTGCACCTTGTGTAGGCCCTTCCCTCCAGGTATAAAGAAACTACAGCAAATTCCATGTCACGTCATGTGATTCTGTATGTAGCAGGAGATTCTTTCTAGCAACCTTACTTCAGAGGCCCCTTAGCTACCTCATGATGTCAGCAGCCATGTGGGAAAAGTTCACAGGATAGGGGAACTGCACATCTGGGATTCACTCTACAACCAATAGGCACTGACCACTCAGTCCTTCAAGGGAACACAGAGTTCTCAAAGAAAAGTTTGAAGCCTCTTTTTTCTTTTTTTTTTTTTTTTTTTTTTCCTTTTTGAGACAGGGTCTCCCTGTAGCCCCAGCTGCCCTGGAACTCACTTCTGTGTAGACGAGGCTGGCTTTGAACTCACAGTGATCCACCTGCCTCTGCCTCCTGAGTGCTGGAATCAAAGGCCTGTGCCACCACACCTGGTTTGGACCTCTTTCTAAAGTGACCTTTTAAAATGAAGAAATTGAACATATATAAATTTTTAGCTGATTCATTCCTGGCACAAAGACAGTTATAAATAATGTTGACTCACACGAGGAGAAAGCTACTTCTTCTACACTTTCTTTGTAATTGTAAATAAGAACAGAGTGATAGTGTGTGCTAGTGTGACTTTAACACCCCTCCAATTCTTATTACCCTGATTTTCTTTATTTTTATGTATATGAGTGTATTGCTTGCGTGTAGGGAGGTGCACCTGTGTCGTACAATGCCACAGAGGTCAGAAGAGGTGTTGGTCCTGGAACTGGAGCTACAGACGGTTAGCTGCCATGCGGGTGCTGGTCATCGAACCCAGGTCCTCTGCAAGAGCAGTCAGTACTCTTAACCGCTAAGCCATCTCTCCAGCCCCATTACCCTGGTTTTTATAAGAACATGTTCCAGGGCACAAAATGGTCGGCAAGAAACTTTAGCTTTAATAAAAAAGTTTTTTTTTTTAAAGTTTTTTTTTAATAAAAAAGTTTTTACCATCTAGTAAGCTTTGCTAAGCATTTGTTTTCATGGTTACCTTCTGTTTACAGCCATGAATTTTAAATTTTTTTAATTTTATTTTTATGTGTATGAGTATATTGTTTGCATGTAGTAAGGTATACCCGTGTCATGAAATGCCTGTGGAGGTCAGAGGAGAGGGTTGGATCCCCTGGAACTGGAGCTGAGGACAGCTGCTAGCCACCATGTGGGTGCTGAGACCCGAACCCAGGTCCTCTACATAAGCAGTCAGTGCTCTTAACTGCTGAGCGTCTCTCCAGCCCTGTGGCAATGGATGTTTATTACTGAATAACGGGATGCTTCCTCTGAAGTGAGCCAGCTAGTAAGGAAAAGGGAGTGGCAAAGACTGCGGACTGCAGACCTGTTTTCCATTACCCCGACAAAAGACCCGAGAAAGTCAGCTTGGAGGAAGGCAGACTTGGCTCCCAGTCCAGAGGATTGGCTCTGTTGCTTCCAGGCCTGTGGTGAGGCAGAGCATCCTGGCTGGAGTGTGTGGTGAAACGAAACTGCTCAGCTCAAGGCTGCCAGGACTCTGGAGACAGGGTAAATGCTAAATCCTTCAAGGTTGCTCCAGTGACACGCTTCCTCTAACCAAGTCCCACTCCAAAAGCTCCCTCCACCACCCACTAGCCCTGTGATCTATGACTCCATCCGTGGATGGCTCCATTGATGATGTCAGCGCTCTTGTGATTCAGTCACCTCCAAACGCCGTGCCCCTGAGCATGACTGTATTGGGACCCATTCCTTCACACAGGAGCTTTTGGGAAAACAATTACAATCCAAACCACAAACCACAGCATCACCAAACACTATTAAGCACTCTCCTGAATGATTCCCAATTCTTAGATCTTATGAGGCTGTCAGTATCTGGCAGCTATGTGAAGCACTTTATAACTTTTAAATATGCTGTATTCTACTGATTGGGGCACTGTTCATCAATATTGAGAGAACCAGAAAACATCCTAAGGCATTGTATGCTTGGCAAATGCACCCAGCATGTCAGCACCCTGAGGCTCCAAAGACCCCTTGGCCTTGGCTTTTAAACCCATGGTCTCTGGACATTTCAGTCACATGCTTCCCATGAATTCTCTTGTAACTGTTACTACTGCTAGTGAGGTCTCTTGGTACTGTAATGGTGTATGCTTGGTACTGCTACTGAGGTCCCCTGGTACTGTAATGGTGTATGCTTGGTACTGCTACTGAGGTCCCCTGGCACTGTAATGGTATACGCTTGATACTGCTACTGAGGTCCCCTGGCACTGTAATGGTGTACGCTTGGTACTGCTAGTGATATCCCTTGGTACTGCAATAGTGTACGCTTGGTACCGCAGTGCCATACAGAGAATGGAAGCACAAAGGATCCGAAGACATTTCCCTGGTATTTCTTATCTTACAGAGTTAAAACCATCTTTGTCTTTAAGTGGCTCTCTCTTCCTAAACCTTTTTGGTATGATTTGCATATCAAATATTGGTTCGTGCTCTCTCTGGCATTTACATTACCATGTTACTTTCATCTCTCATTAAAAGATAGAGTTTTAGCTGGGCGTGGTGGTACACTTAGTCCCAGCCCTTGGGAGGCAGAGGCAGGGAGATCCCAGTGAGTTCAAGGCCAGCCTGCTCTGCAAAGGGAGTTCCAGGCCAGCTGGCCTACAGGGAGACTCTGTCTCCAAAAGATAAAAAAAAAAAAAGTTTTGATGTCACAAAATTCAAGCTCTTTTCCCCCTTTGAAAGAATACATCCAAAGTAGTATGATGTTAGTTTTGTGTTTGGATGCAGTTAAAGAACCCTGTGCAGAACTTTTAAACTCAAATAGAGGGGAGACAGGGAAGGGAAATCAGCAGATCCACAGAGAAGCACTGTCACCCAAGAAAAGGCAGCACGGGTTGTGACAAGCCAAGCAGGGACCCCAAAAGCCTATAGAGTTTGCCTAGACTCATGGGTGATGCAGACGTTAACCCTAATCGTCCTGTCTAATGGGGCGTGACTCTAGATGTCCCGCTGCATTTCACAACTGCACTCCTGAACTGTGAACCAACTTGGCCAGGGTAAACAAAGAGTAAATCGAAGAGACGGGAGCTGAAGGGTAGTTGGGCTTCAAATAATTTTGTTGCCTGTCTACAGCAAAGATGTTTCCTGATGTTCTCAAAATACCTGTCAAGAAGCAAGGAAGGGTGTGTTTTTGCTTGCAGTTTAAGGGTCCAGTCCATCATCACAAGGAAGGGCATGAGGGCCAAGCAAGCTGCCCTGTGTCTACAGTCAGGAAGAAAAGAGAAATGAAGGCTGGGCTCAGTTCACGCACTCTTTTTCATTCAGTCTGGGGCCCCAGCCCAGGGAATAGTGCTGCCCGTATTCAGGAAGCATCCCCACGAATAAGGAAGTGGAGGAATGACCCATCACAGCTTGGCAAAACTAAATATCGTCCTCCTTTATCTACAAGAAGTTTCGCCTTCTGGCAGGCCTCCAGCGGCCTCTGAGCCCCTCTGCAATGTCTCTCCTTGCCAGGGGACCAGAGTGTCAGCTAACACACTTCCGACCTCAACTGGAATAAAACTTTATTCTAGAGAAAATATGAGTGATGATAACCCAGGAATGCAAATTCAGGTTTCCCCAAATTCCATGTTCCAGCACGGTGACAGTTCCATCAAGTTTTTACAGTAACAGAACAAAGAAAATCATGAATTAAGGTGTTTTTAAAATACATTGGTGGGAAATCAAGTAGCTAGGTTACAGCAAAACACGGATATCTCCAATATAGGCCTCAGGTGCATCTGATAACTGCCTTTGGGTCGGCAGAAGCAAGAGGTCTGTTTGCATATTCCAAAAGGTTTAACCTAATAGCACAGGGTGCTAGGGCACACCTAGAGGTAGGCAATTATTGACTGCTAAGGAAGCTAAAGACAACACAAGGTGATCCGCTCCAGATCTATAATATTCCAGCTCTCCACAGTCGCAGACACTCTAATCAATCAACTTATAAAACCATTACCACAAGTGTCGATATTTATCTGAGAACTTTAATCATAAGAATATGCCAGAATGTAAAGCTGGGCGTGGTGGCACAAGCCTTTAATCCCAGCACTCTGGAGGCAGAGGCAGGTGGATCTTTGAGTTTAAGGCCAGCCTGGTCTACATAGTGAGTTCCAGGACAGCTGGGGCTACAAGGAGACCCTGTCTCAAAAAGACCAAAAAAAAAAAAAAAGAAAAAAAGAAAAAATGCCAGAATGTCCTCCTAGGAGGGAGGCAAGACCATCAGATTCAAGAAGGTGATCTGTCCAATCCAGAGCTATCCACCTAACACTGCACTGCACCCTAGCCAGAGCTATCCACCTAACACTACCCCATCCCACCAGAGCTATCCCCCTAACCCTACCCCATCCCACCAGAGCTAGCCACCTAACACTGCTCCCCATCCCACCAGAGCTAGCCACCTAACACTGCTCCCCATCCCACCAGAGCTAGCCACCTAACACTGCTCCCCATCCCACCAGAGCTAGCCACCTAACACTGCTCCCCATCCCACCAGAGCTAGCCACCTAACACTGCTCCCCATCCCACCAGAGCTAGCCACCTAACACTGCTCCCCATCCCACCAGAGCTAGCCACCTAACACTGCTCCCCATCCCACCAGAGCTAGCCACCTAACACTGCTCCCCATCCCACCAGAGCTAGCCACCTAACACTGCTCCCCATCCCACCAGAGCTAGCCACCTAACACTGCTCCCCATCCCACCAGAGCTAGCCACCTAACACTGCTCCCCATCCCACCAGAGCTAGCCACCTAACACTGCTCCCCATCCCACCAGAGCTAGCCACCTAACACTGCTCCCCATCCCACCAGAGCTAGCCACCTAACACTGCTCCCCATCCCACCAGAGCTAGCCACCTAACACTGCTCCCCATCCCACCAGAGCTAGCCACCTAACACTGCTCCCCATCCCACCAGAGCTAGCCACCTAACACTGCTCCCCATCCCACCAGAGCTAGCCACCTAACACTGCTCCCCATCCCACCAGAGCTAGCCACCTAACACTGCTCCCCATCCCACCAGAGCTAGCCACCTAACACTGCTCCCCATCCCACCAGAGCTAGCCACCTAACACTGCTCCCCATCCCACCAGAGCTAGCCACCTAACACTGCTCCCCATCCCACCAGAGCTAGCCACCTAACACTGCTCCCCATCCCACCAGAGCTAGCCACCTAACACTGCTCCCCATCCCACCAGAGCTAGCCACCTAACACTGCTCCCCATCCCACCAGAGCTAGCCACCTAACACTGCTCCCCATCCCACCAGAGCTAGCCACCTAACACTGCTCCCCATCCCACCAGAGCTAGCCACCTAACACTGCTCCCCATCCCACCAGAGCTAGCCACCTAACACTGCTCCCCATCCCACCAGAGCTAGCCACCTAACACTGCTCCCCATCCCACCAGAGCTAGCCACCTAACACTGCTCCCCATCCCACCAGAGCTAGCCACCTAACACTGCTCCCCATCCCACCAGAGCTAGCCACCTAACACTGCTCCCCATCCCACCAGAGCTAGCCACCTAACACTGCTCCCCATCCCACCAGAGCTAGCCACCTAACACTGCTCCCCATCCCACCAGAGCTAGCCACCTAACACTGCTCCCCATCCCACCAGAGCTAGCCACCTAACACTGCTCCCCATCCCACCAGAGCTAGCCACCTAACACTGCTCCCCATCCCACCAGAGCTAGCCACCTAACACTGCTCCCCATCCCACCAGAGCTAGCCACCTAACACTGCTCCCCATCCCACCAGAGCTAGCCACCTAACACTGCTCCCCATCCCACCAGAGCTAGCCACCTAACACTGCTCCCCATCCCACCAGAGCTAGCCACCTAACACTGCTCCCCATCCCACCAGAGCTAGCCACCTAACACTGCTCCCCATCCCACCAGAGCTAGCCACCTAACACTGCTCCCCATCCCACCAGAGCTAGCCACCTAACACTGCTCCCCATCCCACCAGAGCTAGCCACCTAACACTGCTCCCCATCCCACCAGAGCTAGCCACCTAACACTGCTCCCCATCCCACCAGAGCTAGCCACCTAACACTGCTCCCCATCCCACCAGAGCTAGCCACCTAACACTGCTCCCCATCCCACCAGAGCTAGCCACCTAACACTGCTCCCCATCCCACCAGAGCTAGCCACCTAACACTGCTCCCCATCCCACCAGAGCTAGCCACCTAACACTGCTCCCCATCCCACCAGAGCTAGCCACCTAACACTGCTCCCCATCCCACCAGAGCTAGCCACCTAACACTGCTCCCCATCCCACCAGAGCTAGCCACCTAACACTGCTCCCCATCCCACCAGAGCTAGCCACCTAACACTGCTCCCCATCCCACCAGAGCTAGCCACCTAACACTGCTCCCCATCCCACCAGAGCTAGCCACCTAACACTGCTCCCCATCCCACCAGAGCTAGCCACCTAACACTGCTCCCCATCCCACCAGAGCTAGCCACCTAACACTGCTCCCCATCCCACCAGAGCTAGCCACCTAACACTGCTCCCCATCCCACCAGAGCTAGCCACCTAACACTGCTCCCCATCCCACCAGAGCTAGCCACCTAACACTGCTCCCCATCCCACCAGAGCTAGCCACCTAACACTGCTCCCCATCCCACCAGAGCTAGCCACCTAACACTGCTCCCCATCCCACCAGAGCTAGCCACCTAACACTGCTCCCCATCCCACCAGAGCTAGCCACCTAACACTGCTCCCCATCCCACCAGAGCTAGCCACCTAACACTGCTCCCCATCCCACCAGAGCTAGCCACCTAACACTGCTCCCCATCCCACCAGAGCTATCCACCTAACACTGCAGCCCACCCCACCAGAGCTACCCATCCTGACCTATGGCATCCCAGAGTCTGTGTGGGGTCTTCATTCATTCTAGGAGCAGTGACGTTCCCAGATCTGCAGCTGTATCAGGCTAGCCCCTCCTTCCCACTTCTGAATTCAGAGCCATCTTTTTCTACCTTCAGATCGCCCAGGGCTCGCCTGTGTGGAGAGAATAGAGAAATACCAAGACAGTTTCCTGTTGGCCTTTGAACATTATATCAATTACCGAAAGCACCACGTGACACACTTCTGGCCCAAACTCCTGATGAAGGTGACGGACCTGAGAATGATCGGAGCCTGCCACGCCAGCCGCTTCCTCCACATGAAGGTGGAGTGCCCCACAGAGCTCTTCCCCCCTCTCTTCTTGGAAGTGTTTGAGGATTAGGTGGACTGGACTCGGCCTCATGATTCCTACAGCACTGCCAGGTGTCATTTCATTCCACCTCTAGCTTCTCCGTTGTTTCTTTGTTTCTTTGTGTCGGGAGGGAATCATCTGGGGTCAACATGGGTCACCCTTGACATAGACATGGATGACATTGTCCCTTCAACGCGGGTCTCTTTAACCATTGCATTTTGTTCTCCTGTCCTTAGTGCGAGTGCTTTCAAGGGTTTCCAGGAGTGGAGGTTAGGGCGGGGGACAATCATCATTTCACCAGCACCAAGCCATCACCAGCTCCCACCTGTCCCTGGTCAGAGACTCGGCGAGCCAAATGGCACTGCAGACTAAAGAAGCCTTAAAACCAGACCCCAGTCGTTTCAATCCAGCCCTGACTTTTGCAGGGCGAGGTTAGCAGAGCACAGACCGATGTGGCTTTCGTCTTTTTAGGGAATGGAGCCGATTTACATCTGTTCAGGAGCCCTTTGTTTTCAGCACATTTACCCTCTCTGAGCAGTGTAACTGGGAATGTTCAAGAATGTCCACATCCTAACAAGCCAGCTGGCCTTCCAACAGCACTTTTATAACCTTGTGATTTCATTCAAGTTAGGCAAAGAGCATAACTCAAAGACATGCAGGTGTTTGGCTGATCCGCAGCCACAAGGAAAGTAACTTTCCTCCGCGTGTCCATGGAGATTTTCCTGGCTGTTACTGACTGTAGTTTAAAAAAAAATACATGGTTTTACCTCACAGCTGGGATGCGCCTTCACACTTTAGACCCACAAACCATTCCCACAGAGTTCAAACTATTTACATAATGCCATCCCTTTTCAGTGGCCTCTAATCAGTCCTCTCCCAGACTCCTGAAGATCTTTATTCAGGCCATGCCTTTGTTGAACTGATGACAGATTTCCCTATGGATCAAATCTTCTAATCAAGAGAGACACACAGAATCCAGGGGAGATCAGTGCAGAAGCATCCAGAGTCAAAGAAAATGCAGTCTTCATGGACGGAGGACGGATGGAGGATGCTCCCTTCTGGTCTCGGTTCTTCATGCTCTCTGTTCACAGATATTCCCTCGTCCGTCCCCCCCCCCCCCCCCCTATCTGTTCCCACATATTCCCCCCCCCCCCCCCCCCCCCCCCCCAGTTCTGAGGCACTAAATCACCTGACTCTTTCTAAACACTAATCTTTCTGTAGCTTTTATATCATCACCCCAACAAGTACTCCTCCGAAAACAGCCACAGACCGTGTACAGGATCCTTCTTACCTTTGCTGCCCAGCCTGCCCCACAGTGTGGAGTCCATGTTCCTGGGAAACAGGTAGTAACACCTCATTGCTTCAGCATCCAAAATGGGCAAAGAATGTCCCCGTGCAACTGAATGTATCTCATTCTCCACTGGCATAGTAGACGTGGACTAGCCCTTTGCCTGCCTTTCACTGCCTTATCCTAGAAATGCTGGGGAAAAATAAGCCATATCAGTGCGAGTTACCTAAAATCAAAGGAATGAAAGTCACTGTGAAAACCAAGGGGACTCACTTACTGTCATTAGGCTTGGTGGGGTATAACTGGCCTCACTGGAACGCCGGTGCCTCTGTTCGAGTTTGTGCTATGCAGCCTGGTAGACTTAGGACCTTAGGCCTTGGTTTTCTTATCTGGTAAACAAGGTATGATCTCCTAAAATTCTTCTCACCTCTGCTGTCTGGCTTTCCAGCAGGGCAGGGGGTGTGGGGGGGGATATGGTTCTTTCCACGGTCTTTTGTATTCAGATTTGTAGCTTTATTAGACAAAAAGTAGAGCCCATTAGCAGTTAAAGAGTGCACATTGAATTTGGATTCAACGCTAGTCATTCAGAGGAAGGCAGGGTGGTCTTGCAAGAGGACGGGAGAGGAGCTGAGGATCCTTGAATGCCGGGAAGGGCTCTGGGGGAGGGGATGCTGTGTGCACTACAGCACTTTGACTTCTGGGGAAACAAGGGTATCACTGTGGCCTTGAAGAGATTAAAACAGAAACAAGAGGCCCACAGATTCCTGCAGACAGCTGTCTAGGGTTTGTTTTCCTAGACAGTCTCTAACCAGCCTCCTCCCTCGTTAACATCTCTGCTCCCTCCAACTCTCTTTGGGGACCTCTGGATAATAAAAGCTCCCCTTCCAAGGGGAGAGAGGGAGGCAGGCAGGTGGATGTGCTGTGCAGGTGCACAGATGCCTGGGACGCCGGGGTTTCTGGGAAGGGTTCCTGATTTTATCTGATAGATAAGGACATCTAACAACTGGATTCTAGCAGTAGGGCAGGGCCTGGCCCTGGGATCATTCAGAGTGCTCTAGGGATTCACCACAACTGGCCACTAGCCAAACCCTCCACAGTCCAGCCAGTCCCAGCACCGTGATCCTCACTCCTTCAAGGTTCACCTTTACGATGCAGGCCCTGCTTGAGCAAGAAGCATGCTGAAGACTGAGTATTCACACTGAACAGAACCAGCCCGGTAGCTTCCGGGTGACAAGACACAGGATCACCACCCTGGAGGTCAGAGCAACTGAAGTCATTCCTTCGGAAAACTCCATTTCATGAAACTCATTGTGAGGGATTTGATCCCGACATCTTTTTTTAATTTTCTTCTGATCTTGTCCAGACTTTCAAATCAAGTGTGGATCTAATGGAGAGAAACTTCGTACCTGCCCCACCATGGGGAGACATTCCAGTTGAGGGGCCCATCCTGCTGGGATGCTCACAAATCACTGTTAGGGATGAGAGGGCGGTACACATACCACATATGTGTGCATGTGAGCACATACTTGTGTGCACGTGTTTGCTCCCTCTAATGTACTTTGCTCTTCAATGTCAGTGTGCAAAACTTCCAGAAACTGGAAAAAAAAAAGAAACTCTTTCCTTAAGATTCTGCTGAAAACACCATGTGCCGCCTCAGAGCTTTTTCTAGTACAGTGAGTCTTAACGAACGCTTGTGTGTGGAAGCCTCAGCCCAGCGCAGCCCCCCCTGTGGCCCCAGTGCCACCTGGGTCCCAGTGCAGTGTCAGGAGAGCCCGGCTGGTTCTGCTCTGTGCCCTTCTCGCCCTCTCCCTGCAGGCAGGTGCCGTGGCCTCCTGACACCCAGCCCTCCCCGCTGGGCCTCTGCAGAGCATGTCACTGTCAGTGCAACATTCTTAGTTCTGTGGACTCAACCTGCTCTAGTCACCCTGACCTTCTGACCTTTTGCTGCATGACTCATGGATTACAAAACCAGTCTTTTGGTTTTTGAGATGTAGCCAGAGTTTGTAAGGCTAAACCTTTTTCATGGACTTAAGTGAATAGCCAAGCCACAGGTCCTCCTCAAAGGGGGGTGACAGACGTTGAATCTCTGCCCTTTCCAATGGCGACGGCATCAGGTCCTAAAATAAGCTCATAATTTTCCTGTTATTTTAATAATATGGAAATATTAGGATAGTGTTTCTTTTGATAGTGATAGACTGATCCATATTTAAATTTTATAGAAAAGAAATTTTATTGTACTGTGATGTAGATATTTATTATCCAGGAAAGGATTTGCCCGGTGTGTATTTTTTACAATTGAAACATTTTACTTTAATCTTTAAAAAAATACATTGAAAACACACACACACACAAGACTAGGGGGAAAAAAGGTTTGGCCTTATCACAGAATTTTTACTGTGTTGTATAAATGTTTGCAGATGCAAAAAGTGTGTACATGTCCAGTGTGTTTCCACAGTAATTAACGCTGCCTCCAGGAGCAATATCGCGCGGGTGAATGCTGTTTGTGGCTTTCTGCTGCACGGTCCAAGTTGACCGACCTTATGCACAAGACAATCAACCGTGTGAGTCTCCTCCACAGATGCAGACGATACTCCAGGACGGAGCACAGACAGATGAAGGCCGGCACCGTAGGCGAGCATCGCAGCCCTGCCGCTGGAGGCATGATCCAAGCACGCGTGCGATGGCCTTATGGCCGCTTCCTCTCTTCGGCCCTTCCTCGTGAGCTTGGCTTCTTTCCTTTGACCCCTTAGAGCCAAAGTCGTTCTCCAGGCCTCCTTCAGAGAGAGACTCTTTGCCACGTTTTCGTGCCCTGAAAATCAGAGAAACGGTACAGAACAGGGAGGTTTACAGTCAGTGGAACATGAGTGTTTTGCAAACAGTGTTAAGTGATATTGCTAGATCGGTAATATTTTTTTCAGCCTAAAATTGTTGAAATCTGTGATCAAAATGTTTTAAACTATCCAAAAAGAAAATTTGTATATTTGGGAAAATGGATTTTTACATAGCTTTTGTATGCAGATATTAAATTGTAATTACGAATATAGTGGGCGTAGATACTCATAAGCTTAAATTCTAAAAAAGAGAAAAAGAAAAAAGAAAAAGCTTATAATGGATATACTTTCCTGTCACTTTCTTTACATCTTCTTTCTGAATAGGCAGAGATGCCTGATCTTCCCCCCTCAATGCTGTAGGAGGGTGGGTTTGGGAACATATAGGGACATAAGGTACATGAACTGGAATAAGCAAGTTCTCCTGGGAGGAGCTTGCGGAGGGAGGGAAGGAGAGGTGTCAAGGCTCACTGGAGGTTGTCTCCCTGGAAGGGACCACAGAGAGGGAGGGAGGGAGGAAGGGAGGAAGAAGAGTTAGGTCTTCGCAGCTGAAGCACTACATTCATTTTCTTAATTCAAAATGTTCCAAAATATTGGTGGGATTATAGAGAGACGGCCACCAACATGTCTCAACATCACTGTGAACAGCTCAGGACCAGAAGCTCCAGGAGTAGTTCTGCTACAAACAGTGTTAAGTTTCTCTCCCAGAAATTCGAGTGGAAATCCCAGGCCTAACTGTCATCCTGGATCCACCTTGAATCATATGCCTGCTCTTGAGATGCTCACTCTGGTGAAGAGGGTGAATGCTAATTCTGATGAGTTGACTCCTTTGGGAATCCTGGGCCGGGGTTGGGGAAGAGAGAGACTCTGCCCCATCTAAACCAGGGACTGAGAACTTGGGCAGGAGTGAGTCCCCAAAGCAAATTCTAAGTCTTCTCGTGATAAGAAGCAGGGGAGAAAGCTGGGTATGGTGGCACACTCCTGTAATCCCAGCACTGGGGAGGCAGAGGCAGGAGGATGCCTACAAGTTCAAGACCCAGCTGGTCTACATAATGAGTTCCAGTCCAGCCAGGATTACAGGAAGAGACCCTGTCTCAAAAATAAAGAGGAGGAGGGGGAGGAGGGGGAAGAGGGGGAGGACAGCAGGGCAGGAGGAAACGGTGAGCAAGTGCCACGTGCAAAGGTAAGTCACGGAAACATCCAGCAATGGAGTCTCCTCAGTCAGTGCAGAGAAAGCTCTGGACATTCTGGCTGGGACATGAGCCAAGTAAACACATTCCAAATGATAGGCTTGGCAACCTCCTCCCTGGCCCAGAGAACTGGCCAGGCCGGTGAGATGGAGCAGCTTACCTCCTCAGACCACATGGGTGCAGAGGGCTTCTTTCCCAGCTCCTTCAGGACACTATGTGCTGCCCGACTCCACCCAAAGGTCACTCAGCTCAGTTTGTTTTAGAGCATTTTCACATGCCTACCTCAACTGGTAACAAGTAGGCAAAACAGCATCCCTGGGTCTGGAGGAGACAGAGAAAACCAAAAATCTGCAGTAAGGACTCCTCAGCCAGTAAGTCCTTCAAGAACCTGAAGAAACAAGACAGCTGTGAAGTTCCACGGGGGTCCCAAGGCTCAAGGAGCCATCATCCCGTGGATCGGTCTGGGCAGAGGCTTGTAATTTACTGCCGAGTGATACAAACCTTTATGACCCACCTGGTCATATTTTCTTGCAGTAGCTAAAAAAAAATACATATAAACAAAGTATTTAATCATATAGACTATGTTAGTTTTTCTTATAGATGTTACAGTCTGGAGAATGATCTATGGTAGTCATATTTTCTGTTTTGAATGAGTGAATTTAGTAAGTATTGTTCTAGTTAGCTCTCAATTGCTATGACAAAACACTCTGACCAATACCAGCTTGGGGAGGAAAGGCTTATTTAGCTTACATCTTCCAGGTCACAGGTCATCACTGAGAAAGTCCAAGGTAGGAACTCAGGGCAGGAACTTGGAGGCAGGAGCCGAAGCACAGGCCATGGAGGAATGCTGCTTACTGGCTTGCTCCCCCGGCCCCTGCTCAGCCTGCTTTCTCATATAATACTAAACAACCTGCCCAGGGGTGGCATCACCCGCAGTGGACGGGGTCCTCCCACATCACTCAACAATCAAGAAAATGCCTCACAGACAGGGCCACAGGCCAGTCCTATGGAGGAAATTCTTCAACCGAGGCTCCCTCTACACAGGTGTGTCAAGTAGACAACTAAAGCTGTCCAGCACAAGTATATAGCAAGCCACAGTAAGAGAATCAATCGGGATGGATGGATGGGTGGATGGATGGATGGATGGATAGGTGGATGGATGGATGGACGGACAAACAGACAGAATCAAATCAGATGCTCAAAATATCCAGCAGAAACTGAGGGAGCCCCATTAATGTGGCTAGCTGGAGTTTCAAAAGTGCTCACAGAGCAGAATGAGGTTTCCAGGAAAAAGAATGCGTAACAGCAGAAAGATGACATCATCAAACCTGAAGGCTTACGAACATGCGGGAGAAACCAAATGGAGAAGCTGAGGCAGTCAGGCGGACTTTTCAGTGGAGCTTACTTTTCCCATGGCAGAAGCTCCAGCTTCTATTTCACACCGTAGGATAAGCAGTTGCCGATCTTGGGAAGCTGTGTGGGAATGATTACCTCTCAGCTGTGTTCAAGAACACACTGCTTTTACTCTAACAATTTACCCTCCTTCTGTTTTTAAGGACATGGTATTCCTTGAGCTATTTTTCCCTCCCTGCCGCAGACTTGGGGGCCAGTCCATCCCCAGTCAAAGGGCCTTAGAGGATACTTTGAGATGAAGTTTGGGTCTGAACTTGGGGTAGGAGGCATGTGCAGAATAATGAATAGTTCATTTTAAGGGCAGTTTTTTTCTGGATATATATAACTGTAGAAGCCAAATGGAAATGTTTTTCTCTTACGAAATCACTTAGTGCAGACTTCTGGTGGTGATGATACAGTGAAGTGAAGGGCACTGTCTTCCTTCAGGATAGACTGATACCTGTGTTCATTTTCTTGCACACAACACAAACTGCAATGAGGAAGAGCAGACACAAAATAGAAAGTTCTAGTGCTCACAGGTAGGCACATGAAGACTACTCCTCAGTCATATACTCCGCATCTTACAAAAATGCTGCGGCCTTCCCGCAGATACAGATCATGTTTCAAGCCCTGAAGAGAACCCTTGTGCCGACAGTCAGACAGGACCTCTGTAATAAGTTAACTCACAGTATGAAGAACTTGAGCTCCCCAAGGGTGACTCACTGGTAAGTGAAATGCCGATTGTACATTTCAGAAAATCCTCTTCCATCTTCTTCATCACTTACCAGTTATTTGACACCTCAGAGTCCCAACAGCTACCTGAAAGGATGCTGGGTGTTTACACCCTTCAACCCCAGATCTTCACTGTAATGCTGCGGTGTGTAATAGCGGCTGGTCACCTATGGACACCTGCTCTGCACTAGGAACTCTGCCTCATCTCTTTATTTTAAAAATCTTCCAAAGCAAAAAGACAACAGACGTTTTCTGATAGGACAATGGAGGCTCGGTGTGAATAAGCGACTTACCGAGATCCCACAGCTGACAAATGTTAGGAGTCCACGGGGCTTTTATGTCCCAGGTTCTTTCACAGTCTGTACCAAGCCTGAGCCCCGATGAAGGACAAAAGGCAGCCCACTTTGGGATGTTTGCAACTCCTTTCCAAAACATGTCCAGCTACCCCCAATAGAAAAAACACACAGCTAAAGAAAGGCTATCTCAGCTCTCATGAGGGTGGGTCCATTGCGAACGCACCTCTGGGGTCGCAGCATGATATGGGCTTTCTCTTTGCTGAGCTTATGCATCATTCCGCTGGATTCTAGGGCCCCCAAAAGAGAGTATTTTGTTTTGTTGAGCATTTGGGCATCAAGTGTGGGGGAAGCTGCATTGTTCGCATGATGGATGAATTTATAGCAATGGAGGATGTGGGGTGGGGAGACAAGGAAGCAAGATGACAGGGCACTGACAATTCAAGATGGGACAGTACGCTGTACCCCTCTCAGTCTTAGAGAGTCAATTATTGGCAAATGCATTAACAGGTGGATTTCTTGAAGAAATAAAATGAGAAGGGGCACTCAGGTATCATGTTGATGTGGAACAGAAGAGGCTCAAATGGGTGTATATGCACGGGTGTAGACCACCCACTAAGGCATGGCAACCTACTAGTGGCTACATCCCCAAAGAAAAATGACTCTCCCATAATCAGCAGCCCTCAACCGTCAGTAACTCATCAGCTAAGGGTGAGGCCTGATGAAGCCTCCCTCATCCACACTGGAATGCTGACTGGCTTGATCTTGTGCAGGTCTTATGCAGGTAACCCAAGCTGCTATGAGTTCATGAGCATAGTGGATGTGTCATGTCCAGAAGACAGCACTTCACAGCACTCCTCCCCATTCTCCGGCTCTCACGTTCTTTCAGCCCCCTCTTCAGCAATGTTCCCTGAGCCTTGGAGAGTATTGAAATAGATGTCCAATGTAGGACTGAGCACACAACAGTTTTCTCATCACTTGGACTAGTTATGAATCTCCGCATTAACCACTACCCATGGCAAAGCTTCTTTGAGCAAGGTCAAGAGCAGCACCAGTCTATGTGTACCCATAGGTATAACTATGGCATTTAGAAGGCAGTTTGACAACATGTCATTTGGCAAAACAAAAGTACTAGGATTCCTCCGAGGGCCTGTCACCTCCCCAGCCATGGGCTTTTGAACAGGTTTACAGAACCAGACATGAGTTCCCTCATGTGGAGAAGGCCTCAAATCCAATCAAACAGAGGTTGGTTAGCCCCACTACAGCCATGCCACTATCACCAGTGGGCACATCTTGCCTGGCAAGTTGGTACAGCATGCAGCTTCCAGGGCTGGGTAAGACATCGGAGTCTCTTCTCCCCCAGCAGCCTGCACAGCACCTCTGGAGGAAGTTTCCAGAGCAGTTCCAGCTTGATCTCTCTGTCCTGCAACCAAAGTGCATGGTAACTTCAGCAGTAGGGTCTCACCATCTAGTGATTGTGAGAAACTAAGAGTAGTGGTAACTGGGGCTGCAGAGACGGCTCGGTGGTTAGGAGCACTGACTGCTCTTACAGAGGACCTGGGTTCGATTCCCAGCACCCACATGGTGGTTACGAACCGTCCTTAACTCCAGTTCCAGGGGACTCCAAAGCCCTCTTCTGATCTCCACGGCATTGCACAACACAGGTGCACTCACATAC